AAGGATATTTCACCCAACTTTGATGTGGAATAAAAAACTTGTTTTCCATAAGTAGTCTATGATTCATATACCGCTGAACTGTGGTATTGCTCCCTTTTTGTTAAGTAAAAGATCAGAGTATTTCCTCTACCACTGTGTAAATCTGAAACTTGGATTCATGAGTAGGTGTTTTTCCAGTCATAACACCCCAAGCACATACGGCCATGGATACAACTTGAGAATTGAGTTGACCATCAGCCAGCAGATGTTGACTGTGGTTGACTAGGAGCAGAAGAGAAGAGAAGAGTTGAGATAGATTTGCCAATCCTAGCTGACAGTAACATCAAGAAGATGGAGCACCAAAAGATCCCAGGGCTGAGAGACCACAGTGACAAATATGTGACCTGTATAATGCAGGTAAAGCAGGGGAATGAGGACACAGTCTGTCTTGTTTCCTTTCCAGATTGCCTCTCTGTATGATTTATGGGTAACACTTTACAATAAGGTACACAAAATTAGAGTAGTTACTGATGAACTAATGAGGAACTAATGAGGAACGAATGAGTAGTTACTGAGGAACTAAGCTACACAAAATTAGAGTAGTTACTGGGGAACTAATGAGGAACTAATGATGAACTAATGAGAAGTTACTGAGGAACTAATGATGAACTAACTATTAGTTAATGGTCAGTTCTTCAGTAACTCATGTTATATAATATCCTTGATCTTATCCTCTGTTAGGGATTTTGACACAGGATTACTCGAAAAGTACACAGTAGAAGTACTTAATATTATGCATGCACGTAATCTAGGGAGTACTAAGTTCAGCGGTATATGAATCATGGACTACTTATGGAAAATAAGTTTTTATTCTACGTCAAAGTTCTGCAAAATATCCTTCAACTTGTCCTCTGCAGTCTGACCCACAGTCACTACCAGCAGCTCTTTGGAGCCGTTTCATTACGATTACCGTAAGTGTTAGTAGATTTGCGTACTAGAAAAAAACGTGCGGCTGATTTGACCAAGCAAAAGCGAACCACGGCTGGCTTGACCGCAGTTGATATGTGTGGCTTCTCGCTATGACGGTCACAGAGAAAATCAGTAGAGAAGAACAGGTGTGAATTTGGACACACTATGTGTCGTTCAGGCCCATAGGGTTAAATAAATATAACAACAAAAACAATATTCTGGTCTGTTGTTGCAGAGCACAATGAAACAAATCTTAGAGCTCACACAGCCTCTCCTCCTGCCATCTCCATCCTCTGTGTGCAGGGGGCGTGTCAGTCACTCACACTGACACCGGGCAGGTAGCAGCTGCAGCTGGGGGAAATCTTTATGCTACCAATGATTTGAAGTTATTAGCTGTTTTTGAGATGGTCTTTTTCACTCTTATCAGTAAAGCACGGACAAAAAGCATCAGTGGTGGCCTCGACCAGTCTCGTTCAAAAAACCCGAGTCCGCCCAGTCCAAGACCGAGACAAGACCGAGTAAAAATGCCCTCGATTCCGAGATGAGACCAAGACCCTCAAAAAATGGTCTCGGTCTCGAGACCAAGACCGATCTCGAGTACTACAACACTACAAGTATTCCCTCCTTGATGTCAAACTCTACTCTATAGAAACAGTCTGAGGAGGTATCGTCATGATCTTTATCAATATCAACATTTGTTGAATTTAGGTTTGCATTCCACTTTTCTCTCAAAAGGATGATTTAGGACCTCTTAACAATCAGAGTCCCATCAACCAGTCCTTGTAAGGTTTTATTTGATGATTATGATGAGTAAACAACTGCTGTATTTGCTGTGTTTAAGTGGTTAACCCATATGGCCTATTGTTAGAAAGCTAAGCTCCTTGTGGTTTGACTGACATGGACCATTTCAAGATACAACCACCACAGCAGGTTCAACAAACACTTCTGTCAGACAAAAAACAAACAGCATTATTGTTTTTTATTATTCAGTGAACAAAATACACATTTTGAGAAAGGAAAAACCTTCTTGCCTTTTTTTTTTTTTTTTTTTTTTTTTTTTTAACTTTGTATCCCATGAAATAATGGAATCTCTTTCCCTACAGGGCACTGTGAGTAACAGGTGGTAGTGAGTCTGGGTAATTGTTATATAATCAACTGAACTTTTTAACTCATTTTAGTTTCCTATTTAATGTTTTTATCATGGTGATTTGTAAATCCCTGCCTGTCAGAGCATTGGTTCAACTGGCTAAAACGGCTTCCATGTGTCAGTGGTTTTGAGCAGGTGCAGAGACTTACCTGCTGCATCTGTAATAAGGCCATGCTCTCTCCCTCCCTCTCACTCAAAGTGTAAATGTAGAGCAGAGTTTTGCCTGGGAATGTTAGACATGACTGACCAATACTCTTGCCAGTATTGTTATCAGTCAATACTCCTCATTACTCACAACATTGGAACACAGCATTTTTTGTGTATGGCTAGGCTTTCTGAATGCACGTTTATTTTGTACATCAGTAAATCAGGGCTCTAACTACATGGTAAGGTAGAAGGAAAGATTTTGGATATGGTTAAAAGAAACCAACACTAACTGTTGTAAAACTGGTCTAGAACTTAGAATACTCTGCTGAATAAACCATGAAAACAACAACAAACGTCCTACCTGCCAAAGCGAGAGACCAGTATGCCCACGATGAGGGAGCCCAGCAGACCACCAATAGCGAAGATAGAGACAGTGAGAGAGTACATAAGAGTGAGGGTCTCCCCACTGAGGCCTGTTCCATTGCGACGCAGCGCTGTCTTATTGTAGAAGTCTTTTATGTACTAACAATTGAAGGGACAGAAGAAACAGAATTGAGGAAAGGTCAGAAGACAAAGGCAGTATGTGAGGTGGCAAAAACAATGGAAAACAATGATCATTTATGATGTATGAATGAAAGATAATTCGATAACAAGAGATATGCAATTATATATACTAATATACCAATGACCTCAGTCCATAGGTTAAGAAGTTGTCATATCTAGTGATGTCATGAGAACCAATACTCGTGATACCTTTCGATTCCATAATGAAGTTTTTTTTTTTTTTGAAAAACCGGAAAACCGATACCAGCGTAAGACTAGATGCTATGACTCTTCCTGAACTGATGGGGGCAGTATTCGCCATATAGCTTTACAGTCCATGCTTACATTCAGAGCGAGGGGGTGACGAGGAAGTAGTAGAACTACACATGGCATACCTACACGCGAAAGGATGGCAGAAGCAAGCGCTTGAAAGTAAGCCTGTATGGTCCGGTACTGCGTACCTCTAAAAGATTCAGTGGCTGTACGCAGTACCAGGAAGAGGAGAGAGCGGCTGCCTGCTAAAGCCCACATTCAGAACCAGTCACGGCCGCACTTTAGGCCAGAAAATAGATCTGCTAGCAATATGCAGTTTTAAACACCACTTTGTCCGTTTATTAATTGCTTTTATCTCGTTCCGAATTGCTTCAGAACCTCCCGTGCTGTGTTTTGGTCCATGCTGGACTGAGCATAATAGGCTAAGCAGATATGTTCCATATTATTTTGTTTAATTTCAACAACACAGAGAACAGCTTGAACAAGCTGCGTGTGAGCTAACGATCAGGGATTTCACTCTCAGCAGTGCGTGACTGCGCATGCGCGTCTACTTCCGAAACACAGTGGTTGGGGTGCGTTTGATTTATTGTACTGGAACGTTTGATTTTTCGACAACTGGACCACGGACGAAAAACGCCATTTGCACCGGGACAAGACAAACAATAAATGAAACCAACGAAATTCCACACATTCTTGTGGTGGGCTCAAACACTGTCAGCATGATTTAGATAGGAAATATTTAAATCGTTTATTGAGTTTATTGCGGATGTTGAGCAATGTTTTTTACAATGAAAAATAGGTAAAGAGGAAAAGAGAAAAAGAAAAAATATGACATGCATGGTTTTAAGTGTTCATTAAGGTTCCATACATGCCAGCACCCTAAACATTAAATCAAATATTTTACTATACACGTTGTGAAGTGTTTCTAATTTCTTTCTACTTCATACTCCAACATTGAAATGTTTTTATTTGTTTGTTTGGTTTTTGACTTTGCTTTTTGAAAATGCATGAAGCGAGGAGAGGTGAACAATATGAAGCAATGAATGTTTTGGTAATAGTACTGGCAAGAATTTAAAACTACTTTCACCCCTGCCTGAAGGTAGGGCTGGGCAGTATTCGCGGTGACGGTAACTTACCGCAGTAAACATGAGCTGTGGTACTGCTTTTGTGGTTACCGTCATATCACAGTACTCCGGCTATGGCGGCAGAACAGGGCCTGGCAACCGTTTTACTTCTGATGATAAATAGTTTCCATCCTAGACTTGAATGGCTTTTTAAATTGTTTTATTTAAGGTGTAAAAAAAGAGAGAAGGCGATACCGCGATATCATACCGTCACTGCATCCCTCAAAATAATACCGTGATATTGATTATAGACCATACCACCCAGCCCTACCTGAAGATATAAATAAAATCTTGTGTGCCAATCTATATTCATCAAAAAAGAACCCAAGGCAAGAGGATACCAACTCGTGTCAGCATTAAGAACAAACCAACATAATTGATTCACCATTAACAAAAAATAAACATTCGATGCTCTCAATCTTTTGTTTAATAACAAAGCACCAGGACCTGATGGCTCCCCTGCTGAGTTCTATAAACTTTTCTGGTTGATTCTATCTCTGCTCTTTAACAAACTGATAACCTAAGTAAAACTAAATTCATGACTTAAAGCAAACATGAACACAGCCACAATTTTGACTCCTACTAAACCTAACAAAGACCCAACCTTAATATCAAGTTACTGTCCCATTTCTCTCATCAATGTGGATATATATGCTCCCTTCAAATGGGGTTGTGTTTACTGTGTTCACGAGAAAAATCCATATGAATGCTTCTGGGGTATTAATGATCTTGTAAGTGAACATTTTCTAAGAACTCCGAGTTCACAAGTTTGTGTTCATGACTTCCCACATAATAAAGGGGCTTAATAAACGAGCTTACGAGTTCTATTTGGTTCCAGCAATAAGAAAGTCTCTCCCACCAGACTGTCTGAGTAAACCCCCCAAACCTGAGATTCAAATGTATGCTGGGCAAGCGAGATTAGGTATGTCATTAATACAAAAATCAATTGCTGTCTAATATAGAAAACACATATAGGACGGGGAATAGACTTTAAAGCAACACAGGCAAAGAAAACTGCAACTTCCACCACAGAGCGCACTTGTCAGTACAAGAGTTTGCATTAGTACAGGGGAAGTTTTGTTGGCAAACACAGATGCAGTCTTTGAATGTAAACCAGACCTTATATTAGCATAAGTATTTAACATGTGTCTAGAGGGGACTATAACCGACTAGTATTTCTGGTGCAGACTAACAAGGGTAGTAAGATTTAATCAACTAGTTCAGAGGTCGGTAACCTTTGTTTCTAAAGAGCCATTTTTGGTCAAATTGCCTGATGACAGGTTCTAAATTATCGCGCTGGCTCCACTGCTAGTTTTTAACCATAGCAACGAAGACTCAGAGCAGAGGCAACGGATTACAATGGGCATAATGAGAGATTTTATCGTTTCATTTAATTTATTTGGTGAATTTGATAATTTTGATGACTGGGATGCAGAAGAAGAGAGGTTAGAGAATGAAAAGAAAAGGGACAAATGGCACAAGGAGGCGACACGACAAGAATTAAATAATTTAGAAGATGAGAAGGATGAGCCCAACACCAAGAAGACAATGAAATGGGCAGTTCAAATGCCACTATGATGGACATACCCATATCACTTTCACATTTCACTATTAATGGTAATGAAGCATTTAATTTTGAATAGGAAACAATGGCTAATTTGTTAATGTGTGTAGGAAATATTATATATATTCACACACCCAGTGTGGGCATGCAGGAGTCTGCCTTTCTTCAGTCCTGACCTTGTTGGTCCAGGATGCAGGAGTTAGGCAGACCTTGTGACAAAAAGTTCTTTCTGTTGGGTTTTAGCATGTTCAGTTCTGCTCAGGATGCAATCAAATTGCCTGGCAGGGCCACGCTGGATGGGGCCCAGCATGGCTCCAAAGTTCTTCTTCTAGTTCTTCTTTTTTTCTTATTTAACTTCTTTTACAGGGCGGCACGGTGGTGTGGTGGTTAGCACTGTCGCCTCACAGCAAGAGGCCGTTGCCGGTTCGATCCTGCGTGGGTTCTCTCCGGGCACCCCGGCTTCCTCCCACAGTCCAAAGACATGCAGATTGGGGATTAGGTTAATTGATAACTCTAAATTGTCCGTAGGTGTGAATGTGAGTGTGAATGGTTGTTTGTCTCTATGTGTCAGCCCTGCGATAGTCTGGCGGCCTGTCCAGGGTGTACCCTGCCTCTCACCCAATGTCAGCTGGGATAGGCTCCAGCCCCCCCGCGACCCTCAAGAGGATGAAGCGGTTAGAAGATGAATGAACTTCTTTTACTATATAGTTGTTCAAAGGGGTTGAGACTGGCAGGCAGGCTCCAGCCTCTGCGCTGTGATTGGCCTTGCCAGCTGTCTGTCTCTGGCTGATGTCCAGTAGGAGCAGTTCACTGTCACTGGCAGGACATTTCACTCCTCCCCTCCTGTACCTTTGCTAATTTAAAGTTTAATTTACTGTAATTGCTTCCTAGATAATTAATGAAGCTTGGAACATTTCGAATGCTTCCATATTTACCAACGTGGCGCTGTCTGCTATTGAATGGTACCAAAAACACATCGTCTGCAACAGGATATTACCAACTTATAAGTAAGTGGTCAACAGACACTACTAATTCAGATTTAAATGTTATACATGGTGATCATGTTATAACATCATATATATATGTATATATATATATATATATATATATATACTATGTTATAAATATATATATATATATCAATAACCCCCACATAAAACATAAACATAAAATTACAATCAACACATGTTGGTTCCTGGAATCCACATTTCTGTCTGTCCTTCTAAGGAAAAGACAACTGCAGGGAAACGTGGGTGTTATCACATTAACATACACACAGATGTCTGCACCATAGGGATCATGGTGTCAGAGTGGCATCTCAACTTGAATCTTCTTCCTGGATAATACCAACATCAACATGTTAAATAATAAAGTTATGTTCTTCTCTTAAGTTTATTCAGTGATTTACATTTGAAACACATTTCAGACCATGTGGCTGAGTCTGTCTCTTTGTTCGTTTTCAGAGTTTGTGACATGTCGTAAACTCTCCAGCCACATCTGGTGATGTGGGGGTTATTGAGAGCATATCAGTTGAGTGAAGGTCTATCTTTGAAGTGACCCAGTGGTTGGTCACCCATTCTTCTCTGATGTCAGGATGCTGAGTAAAAGTCCATTAGTTTAAATCCAAAATAAACAGGCTTGATCACCCTACATATCCCCCCCTTCGCACTGACGCAGCCTTCCGGGTCGTCGGGCGATGTACAGGTCTGGTGATCAGCAAAAACAGCATGGCAGGTAACAACCATACATTTCCCTGTGCAGGGTTGATGCTTTTCACCCCCCTCCCTTCAAACTTTTGACCTGAGAACTAAGGAGCTACAGACTTGGCTGTGCTATATGTTCAGGCTTATCATGACAGTTAGGATGCTCTTAGCTGTTGACTGGGTCCAGGTCAGAAGTGGCTCTAGCCCTTTGTTTTTATTCTTTAATCCAGTACTGCGGACTGGACAAAATCATCGTTTCATGCAATTAGCAAACTCTGTTATTAGAAACTGTAAGTTTTCCTTCCACTCATTTTT